CGCGCGAAGCTTCATCACTTGGTCGTGCGTCAAGCTTGGTAGGATTTCAATGAGTGGCTCGGTCTCGGGACGGCGGCTCCCCTTGAGGGCTTGTGCAAGTTGAGTGGTGATATCTTCGGAGTCATGGAAGCGGGCACGTCGGCTACGGCGTCTGCTATCGCCCTCATTATCAGAACCCAATGGAGAGAGCGCCTCAAGAGCTTTATTGTCATCGCTTGAGTACTTTGAGGCTAGCAGTAGAGGAGACGGCATGGGCGAACAGTCCTGATAAGTACCATAGTATGACTCGAGCATGGGCGACGGAGGTGCATTGGCGAGAGATGCGCCAGCCAGTCCGCTGGCGGCCAAGCCTCCCACAGTCAGCCCAGTGTTGATGCTGAGACCTGACATTCTCTCACTGGGGGGCTGAGGGGACTTGTCTTTTCGGCTTCGGTGCTTGTCCCTAGACCGCGATCTGTGACCATCCCTTGATCGTGATCTATGCCGGTGGTGTTTGTCTACTCCCAGAGTATCTCGTGGAGGCGACTTATCTCTCCGGCGTGATCGTGATCTGTCGCGCGACTTCTCGCGCTTTCGGCTACTCGAGTCGACAGTCAAGCGGTCCGAGCTACCTCGGGGACCGGAAGACCTATCCCTGCGTCGGTCACGGTGTTTCTCATCGTCGCGGCTTCGAGGCTCAACGGTCATGACGTTGGCACTTGAGCCGTAGGTGTCGTCGTATCGTGCATCTTCCCTTGTCTTGCGTGAACCATACTGGTCAACGGATGGATTTCCGGTTTCTCGATGAGAATATCCGTAGGGTGGTTGTTGCGCATAGTACGAGTCTTCAGCACCTGGGGGAGGGTTATATGTAGTCATAACCTGGCTAGCAGTTGACGGAGCTCCGGTGGCCTTTCCATAAGCCAAGTCCGAAGAGTCTTTAGGTCGCACAGGCACGGGAGGCTTTCCGTAGGCCAAGCCATCGTCATCCTTGTCCTTCTCCTTGTCGTTGCCTGAAGATCCAGTGAGCTTGCGCATGTACTTCTGTGGCAGGAAGCTAAATTTGTCTTCGTCTTCCTTAGCATGAGGCTCTGCATTTTGAATGTATGGGTCTCTATCTTTCTCGCGGCGGCGGTCATCTGGGAAGGCTCCTGGAAGGCTGCTGTCGACCCTTTCGTGTGAGGAACGATATGGCGAGTCTCTTGGCGGAGAAGCGGTTCGAGCGGCTCGATAAGTGGGCGGCTGAGGGTCGTAGCTGTACTGAGATGAGTTTCCGGGAACCACAGGATAGATTCCTCCCTCTTCGGGATACGGTAGGGCGCCGCTTGCTTGCGGTGCGCCTGGGCGACTATAGCGATCATTGAGATCATCCTCTGGATAGATGTAACTTGGCTCGCGATTATCGCTGTAGGAAGGGCGCTCAGGTGCGACATCGCTCCTTGAACGACGGTCACGAGAGCGAGATCGAGAGCGATCCTTGCGGGACCGGTCATCAGGCTTGAGAGACATGGTCTCAGTTTCGTCGTGTTCTGTTTTTGTTCTGGAGAGGCAAAGAGCTCAGCTGTTGAAACGGAAGCGGGGATCTTTGGTTTGGAGGCAGGGGGGTCTCAGTCTCGGGTCAAGAGGGGCGCCAACTGAGAGAGGTTTTCAGCAGCAAGACAGACTGAGTAGCAAGAGTGCGACGATGAGGAGAGGCGCTTATTATGAAGAAATGGACAAGTTCGAGAGAAGATGCCCAATTGAGCAGTAAACTCAGCATTTATTAAATGGTCACACGCCGCCTTGTGCGTCAATGGCGGGCGGACCGGGAGAATGGAGGGGCTGAATGAGACCTGACCTGCAGCAACATCCATACATACATGCGTAGCTACGGTGCCTACTCCTGCTGTGCTTGGACCTGGAGCTCTTGGAATATTCTCTTATTAGTGGACGAAGGGGGCCGGAGAGATCGTCATAGGGCCAGAAGGACATGGGTCACACAGGGAAGCGAAAGAAATGCCCACAGGGCAGACCAGTTAAACAGTTGCTGAGGGGCTCAATGGAGGGAGATCGGGGGACCCCGAGCGCTAAGAGCGTTCACCGTGCCGCTTGCTGGGGTTTGGTGGTGGCTGTCACAGAGGCTGAGAACAACGTATTGTCCCGTTCTTGCGGGGCAGATGCAGGTGAGAACGAGGAAGAAACATGATGTGACTGGACTGGATTGGAGGATCCAAATGTGTTTTATTGATTACCTATTCGGTTGACCATTGCGAGGCAGTGTAAGAAAGTTGAATGCTGTGATGTTGTGTTCTCTGCACCACTGCCCGTGTTTGGTCGATAGGTAGGTCAGAACCATGGGTCGAAACCCCTGCTGAGACGAGGCATTCGTCTTGAGAAAGTTCCTATCATGGCCGCGAATCATCTGAGATCATCTAAATCTATTCTTGCGGCACTCGTTCACCTCGCTGGAAGACATATAACGCTTCATCCTTCCCAGGAAAGGATGGCAACGCTATCTTTACTACCATAGTCCAATCCTCATGTTCCTTCGCCATGAACTCATCCATGGTGACTCCCTTGAATCCTGTGTAACCGTTCCGATTCTGCGTGCCCACTACTGCGATAGTGTCGCCGCCAAAGGCAGAAACCAGTTTCCGCGTAAATTCTCCCTCAATGCCGCCACCAACACCTCCACCAACAACAGGATACACAAGCAAGAGAACCATGCCTTCACCGTTCGAATTCTTGCGTAACCACTTCGCGCCGTCCGATATGATTGTGTCGTTGACCCAGTTGACTCTCCATTCGCTCTGCATGTTATCCACCGCATGCACTGTGAGGCCGTAGCGTCGGAGCATATAGGACCAATAACCATTGCCAGAACCGATGTCGACAATCGGGCGCCTGTCAGACAGAATTTTCAGGATAGCCAGGCTCTCGTGAGTTGGTGTTGCGCAGCCAAAGTGATGCATGAAAATTGGAAGAACATGATGGGACATTGGGACACGTTCTGATGCCAGGCAAGGGCCGCACCATTCAAGAGAGTGACATGACCACATCCAGAAGTCGAGATAGGGATTTGCGCTGGGCGGCTTCTTGCTCTTGGGGATAGTGAGTTTCGTTACAAGCCCAGGGTGCAGATACCGCTTGCTCTCAAGGTTGGCTGCGACTTCACGCCTTATGGAATCCTTCTTAGCATTTGTTCCTAGATTCTTGAGAAACGCAGCAGTAGCTGTTGATGGTCTGAAGATAGAGGTGTATGCCTCAATGTCAGCTTGAGGAGGCGGCTCTCTCTACATGTATGTTAGTTTCACAAATTATCACTCCTCGGACATTGCCCATAGGTAAGTTCTTACAGGTGAGCCATCTTCATTGCGATACCACGCGTGTAATCCGTTGACACCTCCAAGGTTGACTACTGACTGGACCTGGGCAAGTTTCACACTTGCCACGGCATGGTATGTATAGGGATCCGGATCAGGGAGTTGGAAAAGCACTCGACTGGCGTTGAAGAGATCATTTTTCAACAGGTGGTTCAAGGCCTCTCTCTGACGGTCGGCATCCTCAATGAGTTCATCTGGATTGAAAGATGGGCTTCCAACACAGTGAACGAACCTGGATTGGGGCATCTTGAGGGTTAATAATGGCAACCTATCGAGAGATCACCCACAACAAGTGCCTCGGTTCGATATGGATGACGTTATACTGTTGGCATAGAATTGAGTTAGCCATGGGTGGTAGGCATTCTGCGAAGCCTCTCCCAAGGTGGACACAAACTAACTTAGCACCTTGCTAAGCCCACCCTGGCTGCCCTGACACAACAATGCAATTGGATATCTACTACGGAGTATTAAATATTATTTCCATTTTATAAGCCAGAAGGCCATCATATCGCGATGTTATCCCTCGGACCATTTGTCGCGGAGCAGTCCTGCACCCCGACCCCGAATAGAAATTCGGTCTGACGTATCATTTATGAGCGGTTTCGCTCATTTGTCGCACTACGTTGGTTGCCCCCAGGCATAGTATAGTAGGTGCGCTGTCGTTGGTTGGGATCCGTTGGTTTGCTTGCTTTTTACCGACCTCGATACCGAAGCTGGTAATGGATCCATGGCTAACAATGCACTTGGAGCCCCCCTCGAAAATTACCAAGTCATGCCTATTCTTTGTTTTGACTTCTTCGAATTTGGGTACTCAAGTGCATCGTGCTTGTTTGTGATGGCTAGAACTTCTATCGCCAGCGTAGTTCACTGGTAGTACAGAGCCAAATGATAGAGTTCCGTACTAAGGGGGCGCCTGGCAGCCTGGCTGGAACAGTCTCTCGCTTTCTAATTCTAATTGGCATGGCGGTAATCTGCCACCCGACCTCTTGGCACGATCTGTGCCGCGCCTTGATTTATTAGTGTGATACAATGGATGGTTGGATCGCCGTCGGGGCGGGTGTGGACAACCTCACTGGCGCTTGGGTTAAGAAATCAACGCTACCGCCTGCCACCTGCCACTACAGCCCCACAAGCTCAATGTAAGTCAACCGACCCTACCTACCTACCTACCTACCTACCTACCTACCTTACCTGCCCGCTGCCTTTATCCATTGCAGGACGCGCCTCGTAAAGTCTCCCTTCTCCATCTACAGATGCTTCTGCGCTTGAATCCATCGTCTTGGATCTATCTTCGATCATCTTGTTGATGTGGCCTTGAAAGCAAAACCCCCGTCTGGTTCAATTACTGTGCTCAAATTTCCAAAGGGAGCCCCCTGTATTCAGATCACCCTGCTCCGTACCAAACTTGCCTTGGTCGACCCTAAAACAACCTTGCTTCGTCATCGGAAGACTACAACACTTTCGACCGCCTCTCCAATTGCCCCCCCCTTGGCAAAATTCAGAGAATCGTCATTAAACACTCCCTGTGTTGCAATTATCATAGCATATATTTCACTTCACTCCAGAGCTGTTCTTTCGGAGTCACAAAGAACACCAAACAGACTATTGCTCTTTGGTTATATCCGTCTTCCTCCCGGCTCTTGTTCGTTCTGGAATAAGATGGACCCAGAACCACAGAGCCAGACACAGGCATTCCCGCCTTCTACCCGAGGAGACACTACGAAACACGATGGCAAGCCAATTGATGCTAAACAATCAGAGGCCAGCGATCAAGCGAATGCCAAAGCAAGCATATCAGTTCCATCTGGAGCCGGCATTGCCGAACAGAGAACTCCTGGCGGCAGCACTGAGCTCCCATTGCAACCAGCAAAACCCTTCGACATCTTCAAAGACGTGTATGGAGTTAGTCGTACGCCAGGCTCCCCAAGTTCAGATACAGAGAACCAGCATCGACCCATCACGTCTCCTCTTACTCACCCCAATGGTGTCTCCATGTTTCCAGGACTGTCAGTTACGGAGCAAGAAGCCATGTCTCGACAAGCTTTTGCACAGGCGGAAGACAACATTGTTGCCGATAGTGACGAATACAGTTCCATAGGTGATGCCGGATCTGATGCCGGATACGGGAGCGACAATATGAGCACTGCAAGTACATCCATCGGGTCGTCTGTTCGGGACTACATGTTTGAGAATGGTCGTCGCTACCATAGCTTCCGGGCCGGTGCCTACAACTTCCCCAACGACGACATAGAACAAGAGAGGGAGGACATGAAACATGCAATGGTGAGACTTCTCTCGGGCCAGAAATTACATTTTGCGCCAATAGACGAAAATCCGCAAAACATACTTGATATTGGAACTGGCACAGGAATCTGGGCAATCGAAAGTAAGGCCAATTCTCTTTTCATTTTCGTCTCAGTAACTAATAGTACAATAGTGGGAGAACAATACCCCAGTGCTCATGTCCTAGGCATCGATTTATCACCCATCCAACCGACATGGTTGCCGCCCAATGTTCACTTCATGGTTGACGATGTTGAGTCTCCTTGGCTTCATCCTCAGAATCATTTTGACTATGTACACTCTCGGCACACAGTTCAAGGCATTAAAGACTGGCCTCAACTTTTTAGTAATGCTCTCCAGTAAGTGTCAACTCTGTCAGAGCCAGATCCTTGGATTGTACTTACACGATCTCAGGCATATCAAGCCTGGAGGCTGGATGGAACTCCAAGAAATTCATCATTATCCCCACCATGCAAGAACAGGAGACGCTGTCCCGCCACACGAGCACCCAGTCGCACAGTATTGGACATACATTAATGAGGGATTAGCACAGCTTGGCGTAGACTTCCCTGCGGCAGCAGGAGGTAAACTGGCTACAAAAATGCAGGCAGCTGGCTTCGTGAACGTCACGGAACGGATATTCCATGTGCCTCTTGGGACTTGGCCCAAGAATCAAGTGCTTAAGACTGTCGGACTGTACTGGCGCACCATACTGACGGATGGCTTACAAGCAATCGCATTGGGCCCCATGTCAAGGGGCATGGGCTGGAGTCGCGAGCAGATTGAGGTGTTTCTTGTCGATGTGCGAAGGGCGTATAGCGACCATACGTCCCTTTTGTATATGCCTATGCACATTGTCTATGGGCAAAAGCCATACTAAATCGTCGAACAGAATCAGAGTACACAAACGAATCAAAGTCACCACGCGTTCAAAGAAATTACAAGGACATACCAAGTCGACAGCCCTATTATGGTGCAAGGTATCGTGTGGCCGCTAAGGATGCAAGATGGAATGGAGGCGGACGCTATGCTATCTACCCGATAGAACTGGTCGTGGTCTTGGCTGTCTATGGCCAAGCCTCAATGAGAAAAGAGCGCTAGCACTGAGGTATTTGGCCTCGACATCTGATTAATCAACCTTTGCCATCATACGGACACATCAATCTGGACGACGACTGGGGTCGAAAAGATTGATCACCCACAGCAAGTGCAGCTTGTTGGACAGATATTCTGGACACAGAAGTTCAGTCAACAACTGAAGATTGCACGTGATTTCTTGATTTTCGTCCAGGGTTCTACATGAAACATGCCTGTCGGTCATGGGTCCTCAGCTGTTGTTGATGCACGAAACATTTCTACATAGGACAGGAGAACTTCCCCACGATGCAGAGGAGCAGGCGTTTCCGTTCCAGACGTGCGATTATTAGGGAACAAGACTGCACGACCCAAAAGCTCCGCGAAAGACGCTTGGTGTTTTTGACGGAGGATGACGGCTTGTAGTAGATTTACTTATGCAGCCAAGCTTCGTGCCACCAGTACCAGCACTTGCTAGCTTCCGTGCTAGCTTGTGGAGAAACTAGGAACATATTTTTAATCTAACCAAACCTGTGTTATCGTAACTACGCACCCCAGCATTTAATGTACTGTAGAGCTCCCAGGCCATGTCTCGACTCGACCTTCAGGGATTAAAACCACAGCTTGCAGGACACACACCAATCATGACGACTTTAGAACCAAGCGCGGAATTCAGGCTTTACGCACCTCGCCACATGTTCCACTGGCGTTTTGAGGAATGATAGTGGGTGCGGGTGGGTAGACTTGTTCATGCCGCCCATGCCTTGAGCAGAACAGCTCATGTATCCTCGCTACCTTGTTTGTACCCGCATTGGTCATGATCATAGTCTAAGGTCTAGAGTCAAATTGGGGCCATGATGGACAACAATGATGTATAAAACCGCGCATCCCCACGTCGCTTTGCAACAAGGACTAGGGAACACGACCATTTCACTTGTTCAACATGGCTGAATCACACATTTCGTCCCATTCGCAGAGCCCGCAAAGCCTGGACACATCTCTCATGGTGCAGCTAGCTAGGAAAATTACTGAAGAGACGGAAAAGCTCGATGGGTATTTCAAGGCCAATGGTCTTCAGGACTTGGGTTTCGATGTCAATGCCCCTGGAGATCTCCCAAAGCTGCCGGATGATATACAGAAAAGTCGCATAGAGATCTCCTCTGCAACCAAACAGCTCGAGCTTCTTGTTCGGGGACCCAGAGAAACTGTCAGATGGGGCATATGGAGTGTAAGCTTGCCGCCTGTGCATTGGCCCAAGTACTAACACGAAAAGTATCTTGACGCCTTGAGCCTCCACATATTGAACAGCTATGGAATTCGTGAGCTCACCAAACCTGATTTTGTCTTCATATCTAATCCTGAATAGCCAATCTCGTACCTCTGGAGGGATCTATTGCTTTGGCGGAACTCCAAAGCAAGACTGGACTGGATCGCATAAACCTGGCTCGCGCTCTTCGTCATGCTATGACAAATAAGATTTTCCAGGAGCCGACGCCGGGGTTCATAGCACACACTGCCGCATCAAAGATGCTTGCTCAGGACGCCAGTCTCCAAGCCTGGGTAGGGTTGAATGGAGAGGATTTCCTACCAGCCGGGGCCCATACCTTGGAGGCTCTTCGTGCCGACCCAGAGGCGACCTCACTCACACGGACCGGCTTCAACTATGCATGGGGGACAGTGGATAAAGAGCCGATGTTTGCAACATTCGGCAAAGACCCTCCCAGAGGAAAGCGATTTGCAGAGGCTATGGCAAGCCTGACAGGCGGCGAGGGCTATGAGGTTCGCTACCTCGTCGATAGCTACGACTTTTCCGAAATCAACAACAACAAAGGCACATTGGTGGATGTCGGTGGTTCCCATGGCTTCGTGTGCGTCGATCTAGCCAAGAAATGGGATAACATGAAATTCGTGGTGCAAGATTTAGCAAAGACAATCAGCAGCGCCCCAGAGCCGATATGCGCAGATCAAGAGGTAGCTCAACGCATATCTCTTCAGGTCCATGATTTCTTTACTGAGCAGCCAGTCAAGGATGCCGATGGTGAGATTGACACAATTTACTCCTCGAGTTTCCCCCCCTTACTAACACAACCAAGCGTACTACTTCCGCTGGATACTCCATAACTACTCAACCCCATATGCCGTCAAGATCCTCAAAAACCTAGTCCCAGCTCTCAAACCGGGTGCGCGTATCATAATTAACGATCATTGTCTCCGTGAGCCGGGGGCTGAAAACTACTGGGATGAAAAAGTCATGCGGAGTATGGACCTGTTGATGTTGACCTTGTTGAATGCCCAAGAGCGGACAGAAAAGGAGTTTGAAGAGCTCTTTAGGGCTGCCGACGAGCGCTTCGTGTTCAAAGTAAGTCACCGAAACGCTTTGCCTCTGACTGCCGTGTATACTGATATATCTTTTAAAGGGTGTAAGCAGACCGGAGGGATGTAGGATGAGCATTATCGAGGCAGTTTGGCAGCCTTGAATGGGAACGACGTGTTTGAGAGGCAACAATTTTCGACGAAGGAGATGGCAATAAAGACATTAGTACACAAGAATGATATAGGTCAAGGAATGCAGAGAGAGACTGCCCGGATACCTGAATGTTTTGGTACTGAATGATAGTTCTCGGGAATCCATGAATCGTTAGGTTAGCAGCAGCTGCAAATAGCCTTCATTTAGGCGAATAATGGCACCGTTCCATAACAAAGCGTAATTGGTTTAGTGGTAAAATTCTCCGTTGCCATTCGAGCAGCGTCGGGGAGCCCTGGGTTCGATTCCCAGATTACGCATTGTTTTTTGCTCATTTTTGGAAGCTCATTCTTTGTCTTTCTATTTGAACATGTTTTTGGTTCTTTTTGTCACGTCGGGTTTGCTTGGAATGATGTGCTTATGGTGGTGTTGAGTTAATCACTGCTGAGGTCAGGGGTCAGAGGTTGGTTGCACTTGCCTTACTGAATGAAACACAGTGAAAAGACCCCATTATGACCTTCTCTCATGCTAGAAATTACCAATTGAAAATTCTGATAAGAGTCAAATCGGGGTGCCTAACTGTATCTCAGAGTCACCTAAACTATTGCTTATAATTGCAGGTTTCGTCTTCTAACCTGCTAGCCCTTTACAACACCAGCATAAGCCACGACCGATTGAACAGAGATTTCTAGAGCTTTGTGCATTATACAACTATAATACATACTGCAAAGGAGTCCCTGAATTGTATGTCTAAACCCTCAAAATCCAGCCCTGTCTGCTGCTTTCCCTCAAATCACGAAAAGGAAATCTAGAGCCTTCTTGACTCCAGCATATATACACTCAAAATCCCCGCTGTCTCTGTTACCAGTCCTACAACATTCCTCATTTATCCTCGTCTCCAAAACCGCCTCGTCTAGCGATTTCTCCTGCTAGCTCAGCCACTGTTTTGTCACTCAAAACTTCGAAAACCGAGACCTCGACACCACAGTTGGTGACAACCCAGTTTCGGACACCAACGGCAACCAGGGAGTCAACACCGTAGACATTGGGAGGCTTCCCAGTGTCAATTTCCTCAGGAAGCATGTTCATGGCCTTGGAAAGCATGAGAGAAAGACCAGTGGTGACTATTTCTGCAGCTACATCTGTGCTAGAGCAACGTGAAAGAAGGGACTTCAAATCAAAGTCGTTTGAAGCATCAACCACTCTCAGGTCGGGGTTTGAGGTGTCCACCAGATTGAGGTAGCTATAGAGAGCAGTACGAGACCAGTATGGGTCAGCTGGTTGATTCTGTCTAATAAGACCGCCAGAGCCAATGCCCATAATGACGCGACCAGGCATGGGAGTTTCGGGGAAAATCTCAGCAGTGATCGCGTGCGTGATCATGGTAAGAAAATCTTCGTGGCGGATACCATAGAACCCACTGGCTCGGAGAATGTCAAGAATCTCCTCATCATCCGCAAGCATTCCTGCACCGAGAACAGGCCCGAGATCGATGGACACGGCATGCTTTCCTTCGAGGCGGAGGTTGAGGGCGAGGGCATCTTCAAAACAGTTACCCGCAGCGTAGTTGGCTTGGCCACGATTACCAATAACTCCCGCAGAGCTGGCAAGGAAGATGAAGAAGGGGTCCTCTGAGATCGCCGAGATCGCTCGAACTAGGTTATCTGATCCGCTTGTTTTTGGCCTGATTGCCTCGGTCCAGTCAGAATATGTCATGTTTGAGAAAATCGAATCTTTGATAGTCGCGGCACACTGAAAGACTCCCTTGATAGGTGGCATTTCTTGACATATCTCTTCCTTGATTATCTTCGTGAGAGCTTCGGCATCGCAGATATCAACCATGTATACCCGAGCGTCAATACCCTCATTGCAGAGGTATTTAAAAAATCGCTGAGAGGCTTCAGAAGAGGTACCGGTCCGTGAGAGAAAGGCAATGTGCCGAGCACCATTTCTAATCAGTAATTCGCAGATACTACGACCAAGGCCGCCCAAACCGCCTGCAAGTAGGTAGGTATCAGTACCCGACAAGGCTTGATGCAACGGCTTGATAGTCTTCTTGATAGCCATATCAACCTGAGGCGTGGCATCAGGGCCCCCGGTGATAGAAACGAGCCCAAAAAAGGGATCCTTCTCGATGAGTTCGAATGCTTTCTTGATCCTGTTGATATCGATGTTGGTGATTGGCACAGGAAGTGGCAGGTCATTCCCCAAATCATCAGAGCTACTCTCAACCCGTATACAGAGCTCCTTTACCAGCTCCCCCACGTAGTCTGCATCATACTTCAACATATTTTGCAGGTCAAAGTTGACGAGCGAAACATCAGAAGACAGAACGTGAACTG